GTTCTGCGCCGACTCCATCTTCCCCGCGCTCGATTACAATGCCGACCCGCCTGTGCAGAACATCTCCATCAGAGACGTGCACGGGAACGTCTGGGAGTTCCGGCACATTTACCGGGGAACCCCTCGCAGGCATCTCTTGACAACAGGATGGAGCAAGTTTGTCAACAGTAAGAAGCTCATCGCTGGGGATTCGGTGGTTTTTATAAATAATGGCGAGGGGAAGCTCTTTGTTGGGATTCGGCGGATCGGGAGGTCCTGCGGGAAGCCGGAGTTCCTGAAGCTGGACGAGAAGATGAGTAGTGTGGTGAATAAAGACGGGTTTTCGAGGAATGTGAAGGGTAGGGTTCCGGCTGATTCGATACTGGAGGCGATTAGGTTGATGGAGATGGGGCGCGAGTTTGAGGTGATGTATTATCCGAGGGTGGGGTCGCCGGAGTTTGTGGTGGAGCAGGAGGTGGTTGATAAGTCTCTTAGTTTGTGTTGGAGTGAGGGGATGAGGATTAAGATGTCGGTGGAGACTGAGGATTCGTCGAGGATGACTTGGTTTCAGGGGAAGGTCACGCGCAACAATGTCAGGGATTCGGGGCTGTGGTCGTATTCTCCTTGGAGAATGCTGCAGGTAGTCCTCAGTCTGCCTTTAGCTTACTGTTGATCGATGTACATTAAGTAATTTCTTTGGATCTAATATCTCATTTGACATACTTTATGTTAGTATTTGATTGTTTATTCGTTTTGGACCCTAATATTTTAGGCTAAGTCATGTACCACATCACATGCGGTTGCATGTTCCCTTCTCATTTGTTCCAATCTAATACGTTGTAATGGTAATACAAATATACTTATATGGTTGAAAGTTTGTTATGATTATCGTTTTATTTTTTCTGTTATAAATGAAATAGACACTCGACATTATTACGAAATAGACATTTGGCATTCAACATCATACTCGACTTGTATAGTTTCTCATAAATATTTTTATTTAAAATACATTGATGTATTGTAGTATGTTATTTACCAATGATTTGGAATAACAATTTTTTATTTTTTTGTAACTTAAGGTGTGTTCTTTTTTTTTAATTATCAAGGATCAGAAATAGAGCATGCTGATTAATTGTGCATTACACACATATTTAAAGGATCATATGTGCTACGATCTTAGTTTTATTTTGCAAAAAAATTAACGCCATTAAAAAATATCTAGATCACTTAAAATGCCTACAATAAAAAAAATCATTTCTTTTTGTGATTTCTAGCAGTCCATCAAGTATGTTAAGATGAATTATACTAGCTGGCTGGCTAGATTTATGATAAAAAATATACTACAGTCAACCTAATTTGATGTTTTAAAATTTAACTACTTGGGTAAAGATAAGTGGTTCAGATTCCTACTTTTGAAGCTCCATAATAGTTTTGTCTAACATGTTATTTTAAGCCGTTCATTTGTAATTGTTGATTATAGACATCAAGTCTTCAATTATCTAATATTTGCTGGTAGGATATTAGATTTCATAAGTTTCAATGGTTTGATTATGAAGTTTGATTCTTAACATATACTTTTCAGTTTCCAAGTTCATAATTCATTGATCAGAGGTCAAATCCTATTGGCAGGATCCTAGCCAAATTCATGAAAACACACAGATACAAGCATACATGCACTATTTGCCTTTAGTGTTAACATTTTAGAGTTCATCCCTACATAATATTATGACTTTGATCAATGCACACTACCATTATCTTAATGTATGTATTATAAAATGCATACAGATACAAGTCATTTGCTACAGTAATTTTTAAAATGTATTTAATGTCATTCTCTTATAAATTGCTATTTGTTTTGCAAACGTTTGATGTATTGTTAAAAGCTTTAGAGACATCATATTTTATCCATGTGTGTGTTACATTACCTAGATCAGGTTGACCAGCATCCATCATCTAATGAGTGTTTTGCCATGTAGTTTAGTAGGTAGGATTGTTTCTAGAGAATAAGTTAACCCATATCTCTTTATCTATGTGCACATAGACACAAAAAACAAGCACACGTACGCTCACATATATACTGACACCTATGTCACTTGGGTACTTCTATCTTGAAGCCGTATCCGCACACGACCCATACCAGTGCCCAAACTCCTTGGACACTCCTGGCATATATGCATACATTTATTTTGGTATGTACTCAATTATAAACAATACTTGTTTTAATTTCGGACACTTGTCAAACATTTCCTGACGTAAATCCTACACTTTGCATCCACTTCATGAAACTCATTGGGTTCCAAACTATGACTTTAATGGTCGTTTGGGTGTCTAGTTCAAAAAATGAGCGTTTTACAATTTATAATCTATATCATAAAAGAAACTTAAAAATGTTATAGGAATTTTAATTTTCATAACATGTGAACAAAAAAATATTGATCTCATGTAAACTATATATGTGTATGTAAATATTTATATAGCCATGTCCCCGTACCCTACTTTTGGCAAATTTGTCGTGTCCTTGCTGTTCTCATGAAACATAGGAAATATATTATTTTTCCTTTCTGTTCTCTTTTTGATTTTTCAATTTCAAAACAACAATGACTAAGTGGTATACTCTTTGCGAATGTAAAGACCATTTATTTCCATTTATTGCTTTCTTGTTGTGTAATTTCCCTTATGATGATTTTCATTTTTTTGGATTAAATTGATAAAGAAGTCACAATTATGTTTTTTTATTATGTCTTATGTTATTCACTTCCTTCTAGAGGCCCTGTATTTTAGAATGCACTTATCTGGTGACAACATGTTATATTTTCGTGTTACATGTTATGCATTGCATATTACAAGGTTACTATATGAAAATCAGTATACTTGCATGCACATTACTATTTTGAATCATTTTTTGACATATGTTGTAGTTGGAGTAAAGGTTACAAAAAAATCTTCCCATATATTTGTGCTATTTCAAGCAAACATATATTTTGCATGTCAACCGTTAAGATAGAATGTCATACTTTCTGAAATTTTTAAATAATTGTATCTAAACTGACATGGTTATCTAATGATTTGTCTTATAATTGTAGAAAAAGTGGACGTCATGTTTTATCTGGATGTAGGTTGGAAACCTCCTAGGAATTGAATATTAGTTCTCTTTCTTACTTATATTAACATTTAAGATTTTAGTTCTTTTCGGGGGATTTAATAGAGAAAATGTCTAAACACGAAGAATTTTATGTGAAGCCTTTAATTTTGGTATATATTGTGCTTATGTTGCACATTTTTGTATACGCTGATTCATTTTTCAATTATCAGGTGACCTGGGATGAGCCTGAGGTTCTACCGAATGTAACAGCTGTCAGTCCTTGGCAAGTGGAGTTGGTGCCTACCTCTCACCATATGCATGCACCATTTCCTCCCATGAAGAAGCTTAGGGCACAAGGTCTCGAGTTATCTAGTGATGGGCATGGAAGCATCGTTGTTCCTCAGTCACTCACAGATAGTATGAAAATGGGGAATCTAACCCCATTCCCCACATTTCCTGCTGGCATGCAGGGAGCCAGGCATGAATTCTGTGTACCAAGTTTGTCCGACTTCTTACACAGGAACACCAATCAGATGTTCTCTGATAATTTCTATGGCATTAAGGTGCCAGAAGAGCTGAATAGGACACAAAGAGAAGCATCATCGCCTCCTAGCCAAGAAAGCATCCATAATCATGATCAGGATCTTCTAGGAGTTGCAGCTTGTACTCAAACTAGAAAAGTTGGCAAAGGATCAATTCAGCTGTTTGGGAAGATAATTCATACGAATGACCCTGATGATAACAGTGTTGATGGAGAGTATGCTGCCAATGAAGGTGTTCGGTCACTTGAGTTTTTCACTATCTTTCCAACACAACCTGTTGTTTGATGGTGTTGATGTTCAGCGTCAAAGAATTTCAGCTGCAGAAGCCATGATTCTTATGATGAAGTGGAGTAACTTTCCAGCAGGCAACTTGTACAGGTAAGGAGTAAAGATAGGTTTCTATTTGTTTGTTTATGTTAAATTGTTAACAGGAATTATGCTATGCAATGAAAGTTGGGAGTCTCTTGGAGTTGCAGGGGCTAGTAATGAATTGTATGTATGTCCTTCTAAAGGGATTTGTGGACCATGTATGCATTTACATATCTATGTTACCTGGGTACTTCTTATCTGAAGTCGTACTCGACATGTACCCGTATTCGTACCCAAATTTTTTGGGCACTCATTGCACATATGCATACATTTATTCGGTCATGCACTCTTTAAAACACTTGTCACACATTTTTTAGACATATTCCGACACTTCACATTCACTTCTTGACTTCTTGAAACTCATTAGACATAGGTCAGATTCTGAATTATAATTTTTGAAGGGTTATTTAGATGTCTAGTTTGGAAACTAGTGATCTTCCAATTTATAATCCACATAATAAAATAAACATAAAGATGTTATTAGGAGTTTTAGTTCTCATTATTGTTCTCGCATAAGTTATTAATTCTAATATATGATATATGTGTATATAAATATTTATATAGCTGTGGTCATGTACCATACCTTTTACAAATTTGTCGTGTCGCATACCCGTACCCATACCTGTATCCATACTCATGCAACATAGCACATCTCCAATTTCCATTTAGCTTCACGAAGGTAACTCTTGGAGAAAGCTCATAACCATATGCAATCATCTTAGAAGTCAAGATGTTAGGGGTGAAGAAAATACTATCTACTTAATACTTCACAGGTAAATTTGTCAATCTAAGTTAGTAATTGTTTGTCATCGCATCATCTTTTCTTCAGGAAAAACTGCCATCTTCTACGTTGTGTTCAACGTGGAGTGAGAATTGATGATAAGTTGTATTTGCATATAACAAAAATGATACCCAAGATTTAGTCTCATATTAGATATTGATTGAGTGATTGAATAGTTTATAATGTGAGTCTAATGAGTCAGATGCAACATTACTGATTAATTTTGGCAGTGAATTAAGCCAAACCATGTGTTGCACTCTGTGTGTCCTACGACTTGCATCGCGCCAATGGGTTCGCGGGCTACAAATAGTATCAAAACATTTAGTGAGCCGGAAATGTAGGGCCCATTGCTATGCGAGACTAAGTGCTACACTGCACGAGTGTGGTGGGAGCCACCTCTAGAAGCTTGTAGGAACCTACTGTAAAATCTATGGTCCACATTCCCTGGTGGTGATACTAGGACAGACCAATTGTCATACCACGACGTCACAACGAGGACGTCGCACAATTTTTTTTTTTTGAAATCAAGGAGGTTGCATAATTAAGGTGGGGTGGTTGCTATACTCCAAGATGTATAAGAAGTCAAGTACAATATTAACTAGACAATTTTGACAGTGGATTCAGTTAAATTATTTGTTGCGCTCTATGGGTCTTACAGCTTATATCGCGCCAACGGGCTCGCGGGGCCCGGGGCGTGACAACAAATTACTAGTGATTTTAGCTGTGTTCATGGAGTGATAATTGATAAGTTGTATTTGCATATAACAAAAATGGTACCCTAAGATTCAGTCCCACATTAGATATTGATTGAGTGATTGAATGATTTATAATGTAAGTCTAAGGCAGTGTTTTAAATGTCGGCCGACATGTCGGACATGTCGGCCGACATGTCGGGTTGAAGGTGCCAGTGACACAAGTCGGGCTTTCTTAAGTCGGATGTCGTTTTTGGGGAGAATATCGGATAAATCGGCGCAATATCGGCCATATCGGTCGATTTTTCAGGTTTGAAAAATCGGCCGATATGCTATTATATCGGTTTAAAGCTATTTTTGTTTAACGGATTTGGATTTAGTGATGAAACCCCAATGACCCGTTCTAATGTTCTTTATGAACCTGATAGAAAAAAACCTACCCGAACACATAAAAACTAGGGCAAACGCGTCTGGGAACATCCGATGTCTTCCTCTTCTTCGTCTCTCACTCTCTTGCTTCCCTGCCATCGCCGACGCTCGCGACTGGAACCAAGCAGCTTCCTCATCTTTGTTGTTTTGCTCCCAGCGATATTGAAAAACCCTAGGGCTCGCGACTGGAACTCAGCAGCCTCCTCATCTTCCTCGTTTTGCTCCCTGCGACATTGAAAAACCCTAGGGCTTCTCTTCTTCCTCGTTTTTCTTCCCTACGCCATCAGAGCCGACTTCTCCTCTCTTTCTTCCATATGCCATCGGAGGGTCCTCACATTGCTAGCTTCAGCCGTCAGGTAAGGCTCCTGACCCCTCTCTCTAATGACTTTTTCTGTTTATTTTTTTTCAGATTTTGCTCTCTGTGCTACTGACCGTTGGCGCTAACTGTCAAGTAAAAGGGATTATTTTGATAGAAATCAAATTAGAAATCAATTGAAAATTAAACAAACTGGCCTTTAATTTGAGAGTTAGGCCACACCTCTCCCAAGGACACTAATTTACTGCTAAACTTCTCCGAAAACAAGCATAACCCCAAATATTCCCCCCACGCTTATCAAGCATCAGCCCATAATATTCCCCTCCCACGCTTATCAAGCATAAGCCCATAATATTCCCGTGACACACTTATTAATCTCCATTTCCCCACTAATGACAGTCAAATTACAAAACCGTCCCAGGTTGGCTTGGTGGTTGAAGTTTCAGGACTTTGGCACTTCTCTTTGTTAAATTGGATGATTAGTTTTATATCGAAGACCGTTTAGCATATCAAAGGCTAAAATTGTTTCAGGATGCAATCGAGAATCAAAGTATGCTTATATTAAATTTAGAAATGCTTAGATTACATTTAGGACGTGGTATTATACATATACGCACCACCCGATATCGCAATCCGATATTTAGTCCATGTCCCCCGATATATCCCCGATTTTTGCTATCTGACATGGATTTCGGCCGTCCGACATGAACCCGACATCCGATATTTAAAACCTTGGTCTAAGGAGTCAAATTCAACATTACTAATCAAATTTGGCAGTAGATTGAGCCAGATCATGTGTTGCACTCTTGTGTCCTACAGCTTACATTCCACCAATGGGTTTGCGGGTCCGGGGCATGACAAATGGTATCAGAGCAATTAACGAGCCGGAAGGAGGGGGGGTTAAGTGCTATGCGGGACTAAGTGTTACACTGTGTGAGTGCGGTGGGAGTTACCTCTAGAAGCTCATAGGAGCCATCTTTAAAATCTAGAGTCCACATTTCCTGGTGGTAATACTAGGGCGGACCAATTGTCATGCCACGACGTCACGACGAGGATGTTGCGTAAATTTTTTTTTTTTTGAAATCAAGGGAATAGCATAATTAAGGTGGGGTGATTGCGATATCCTAAGATTTAGTCTCACATTAGATATTGATTGAAGGGTTTAAAATGTAAATCTAAAAAGCCAAGTGCAAAATTGACTAATCAATTTTGGCAGTGGATTGAGCTAAATCGTTTGTTGATTTCCGTGGGTCCTACAGCTTACATCGTACCAATGGGCTCTATTAGAAGCTCAAAATGTGCTCCTTAATCATGACAGATGTGGTTGGGGGTTGACCACTCACTACTGATTTCTGTTTAGTATAATACATGTTTTGATTATGTTAAACAGGTAGGTATCTGAATGAGATATATTCCTTGATATGATTGAAACTGCATCATAACATAAGTATTTTGTTGTCTATATTTCTTTGGGTAGGCCTAGTATTCATTTGTATTACGCATCTACATTTTTATTTGGCGATCAAATAATTTTCTTTGAGTGTTGTTAGTTGTCTTCATTCGACCATTGTGATTGGTGACGGTCCCTTCCAGTACACCGCAGCTCCAAAGATTAATAGATTTGGTTCTTCATTCTATGTTTTATTTATTCTTATACAACGAAGAAGTTGGTGTATAATAGTTGAGAAAGCTACATATATGAGATCTGCTGCTGCGCCATGGATTTAAAATAGTGATGTTTCATCTCACATTTGGAATATTGCCCATGCCCGTGCTTGAGAGTAGTTGGTTCATAATTGAATGGAAATACTTTCTTTTTCTCTCTTTCTTTTTCTTTTTTCTTTGTGAGTGAGTGAGTGTGTGTGTGTGTAAACAAGCTGCTGAATATTGTGCCTTGTCATATGCAGGTAGGTAGGTAGATGTCTTAGATAAAGATGACATGAAGCTCAACTTGAAGCTGTAGGATCTTGGCCTCAGTCTCAACTTGAAGCTGTAGGAACTTGATGTCACTTTTCAACTGCTAATACTGACCAAGTTTCAGACTAGTGCTATTTAGTCTAGACTTTTTAAGTGTTAAAGTGTATGGCATCTTAGCTGTTGCCATTTGTAATGAAGCAATTGTTGACAGTTTAATCATTCGTACTCTGGCTCGATCGTTATTTGGTTTAATGCGTTAGTTTTTTGCAGTCTGTCAAACAGAGTTTTCGCTTTGATTTTTATTTCATTTAGGGTTAGTTGCACATAGATTCCCTCTAGTATCGCGGTTTTGAATGTGCTGCCCCTGCGGTTCCATCGTTGCAGATAGTCCACGGGTTAAATTCTTTTGACTCCTTTACCCTAGGTTAAATAATGGCAGATATTTCCCCAGGATGAAATTAGTGAATCTGTCTTTAAGGTAGAAGAGTCAAAAAATTTTTTTTTAACCCAACCCAGGGTGTGGATTTGCAACAATGAAACTACATGAACAGCAAGTTAAAAACAACGATGCTAAGGGGGTCTACTCGCGATGAACCTGTTCATTTATGTATGTTTTTTCCCTGATTTATGCCATGAGGGAGCCGAAAGGAGGAGAGGAAATTCCTGCTCCCCTGATGCTGAGTACAGGAGAAAGAGGGGCCTCTTTGCAGCTGATATACTGCTGTTGATGTTTTAGTGAGAAAAGATGCTGACAGTGGAATGCTTCTCCTGATTCGGAAGAAGTATTTGCACATTCACTCGCTTTGATCTCGAGTCGATGCATCTCTGTCTCATTTTCCGTGTCTGTTTTTGATAAAATGCTTTTATCATGTTATTGACGCGTGATAATTATTGCGACTAGCCAGTATTCTTCACATGGTGTTTCGTCAAGCCATAATTGGCTTTTTTGAGATTGTGGTTGTGATATCGGTCTCTTATAATCTAACTGGTATCTTTGCAATTGGGAACTACGTTACTTGCGTGTGTCGTGGTTCGCTGGTAGGGTTTCATATACATCGGGTAAAATCGTAGGCTTTGTAGAAACTGTTGGTGGGGGATAACTCACTTGCACAACTTGTAGTCCTCCATTGTGACCCCGCAGCATCCGACATATCCAGCAGAAGAGGGAGCGCAGAAAGTGGGGAAGGATCAAAATGCATGCATCAGGAAAGAGGGGGGTAGGGGACCAAAACGAGTCCCTCCCACTTGATTTTTTGGGTCTCAAGATGGAAGAGAGGAGGATTACAGGGAGGGATGGGTGAGTGATGGATGCCCACACTTAATTTGTTTTGGATCTCAATCATATCATGAAAATTGACACCCACCATCCGCGAGCGGAACAATATGAAGATTTTTGAGGAGGAGATCTAGAGACAGTAACTCGATCAGTTTGCGTTATGTTAACCAATATTTCTTGATTAAACATGTGTTTTCTCCCTTCTTTTTCTAGTCAAGAATTTGGTATCTAAACAAGATCGAATACTTAACGGCGCATCGACAACCAGATGATACGATGTTTGGGTTCATGTTGGATTAATTTGGATTGGGTTTCCACGAAATTAGGCCCCATTTCCATTCCCACCGCAAGTCGAACCTGTGCTCGTTTAGGGGTTGTTTGGTTAAAAAAAAATTCCCTTGAAAGCCTGCTAAAGTGTCACTTCTTTGGCAGGCTTTAAGCAAAAACGCCTCTAAAAAAGAGGATTTTTCTTGAAAGCCTGCCAAAAAGTGACACTTTTGGCACTTTTAGCAGGCTTTCAACACTGGTTTTCCCTCAAAAACAGGGAACCAAACAGCCCCTTACTTGCGGTACTCCTACTAATTGCATTGTGGACTTATCTACGCTCCATGTGAACATAATCTATGCTTCTCTCTCTTGCACGCGACCCCCTCAACATTTGAGTTGGAAACCACAGAGCAAAGCATTATTGTGCTGTTCACGTGGGGGCATACAGCTGATTTTGATACGGGCACCGGGGCACGTGCACGTTTGCTTTCTCACGCCCCAACTAAAGATATGTGGATTGCGTATTTGCACCGAGGACAACAATACTACTAGCTTCAGAACTAAGCACAACACGCACCGAGAACTTTGTTTATTTGGATAATTGAGCTCTATGATTGAATCGCATGATGCCGATAAAAAATAAAAAAAAAAGAAGCATAAACTCTAGTATGGCACGAGCACTTTTTTAAAAAGAGAGAGAGAGAGGGAGAGCTTGACTTTATTTATCATGACACATACAACACAGTGATTTTAGCTTTTGAATTGAAAGCAACCTCTGCACCAAATATGACAACGGACGCACCAAGAAGATGCCCTCCTGATGTTAACACTGCATCCTTGAGTTTGGTATATCAAAATCGGTTTTTCTATAAGAGAGGAGAGAGGTAGAGAGAAATGAATAGCTCATGGGGGGCCCTGATTTGCATTAATTTCTGTGCATAATTCATTTCTCTCTATCTATCTCATCTCTTATAGAGTGCCCACGGGCACTCTATAGAAAAACCGTATCAAAATTGATGGGCAAATTATCGCCTATAATTAATGTGCCCAATTTACCCACCAAATACAACGAGGCCATGATCAATGCGTAAGGCTTCATCCAGCAATTTCTCTCCTAAGAACATGCACACGTGAGGGACATACATCTTGTTGAGCTTTTAAAGCAGCTTGATGACCAAGCCTCCACATGTAAAATCTCATTTTTTTTTTATACTTCTCTTCTCCACTCATGCAATTACTTTTCTCCCACTTTAGTAACTCATTATTTTGACCACCGTTTCTGAAGAAGTCAAGCTTGAGTTAGTGAAGTTAGGTTGAATTTAGGTTCTGTGGGGGTCAAATTGTCAAAGCTAGTGCCTAATCAAATTAGGCTGAAAGCAACAAGATTACGACTATTGCTTTTACTTAGTAATATTGTAGCAAAACAAAGAATTATAGCATCCAATTTGTTGAAAATGATGGCCTTGGCTACCAAAGAATTATATGCCGCTAGAATGAACAATGTCACTCCTAAAGTGACATCATATAAGATGTTGACCCTTCAAATTTAATGTTGAGATGCCAAAAACTATGAACTCACAAGTGAAAATTACATAACCCTTCTCATTGTAAGCAAGACTATACGCCGTATCTTCAAATCTATGTATATGTAACATAGTTATATAATCATACACTATATATGATTTCCAACACTAGAGAACACATAAAATTTGGTAGTGAAGGATGAGCAACCTTTTTATTCCCCCACTCTGGTTTTCTCTTCTACTCTCTGCTTCTCCTCTTCGTTAGACTCCTTATCCAGCCACTCCTCC